TATCCATACCGAGTATAATAAGCTTATCCTTTCGATACTTCGTTATGGATAAACATTACCCCGGTAGAAGATTATCCATACCGGTACAATAAGCTTATCCTTTCGATACTCTGTTATGGATAAACATTACCCCAGGTAGAAGATTATCCATACCGAGTACAATAAGCTTATTCTTTCGATACTCCGTTATGGATAAACATTATCCCCAGTTGAAGATTATCTATATTTCGTATAGTAGCAGCTTGCAGTAGCAGCTTCCTTTCCTCTATAAATAGAAGAGATTTCAGTTTATTATGGACCTAAGTTTGAAGTTGATTAATATATCAGTTTCTCTCCATACTTGTCTTTACTTTATACTCTTTATTTTATAACACGTTATTAGCACGAGACTCTGCCATCTCGAGCAAATACTTTGAAAGTATCAGAGGCACGAACTTTCTTTTTCTAAATAATGTCAAATCTCTCTAAACTTGAATTTGTAGCCCTGGATATATCGGGCAAAACCTACATGTCTTGGGTGTTTGATGCTGAAATTCATCTTGATGCGATGGGTCAGGCAGACACCATCAACGATAGAAATCAGGCATCAAACCAAGACCGTGCCAAAGCAATGATATTCCTACGCCATCACCTTGATGAGGGCCTGAAAATGGAATATCTCACTATTAAAGATCCAGTCATACTGTGGGATAATTTGAAAGATAGATATGACCACCTGAAGATGGTCGTTCTTCCACAGGCACGTTATGATTGGACTCATCTAAGACTGCAAGATTTTAAATCGATAAGTGAGTGTAATTCTGCTATGTTCAAAATTATTTTCCAATTGAAATTATGTGGTGATAATATTACTGATCATGATATGTTGGAGAAAACTTTCACCACATTTCATGCCTCGAATATGCTCCTACAGCAGCAATATCGAGAGATGGGATTCAAAAAGAATTCTGAACTTATCTCACATCTTCTTGTAGCCGAGCAACATAATGGGCTATTAATGAAAAACCATGAAAGCCGGCCTACTGGTTCTTGTCCATTCCCTGAAGTGAATGAGACGAACTTCCACCAAGCTAAGCGTGGAAGGGGTCGTGGCCCCAGTCATAGTCATGGCCGTGGTCGGGGAAGAAACTTTAATCATGGTAATAATAATGCACCAAAGAACCATCCTCACCACCAGCAGTGGAAAAGGAAGGAACAAAAGCATGAAGCGGTGCAAGCACCAAATGCAGAAAATGCATGCTATAGATGTGGAGGAAAAGGGCACCGGTCACGTACCTGTCGTACGCCAAAGCACCGGGTTGAGCTTTATCAAGCCTCCCTGAAGAAGACAAAGAAAAATGCTGAAGCAAATTTATTTCTGAAGATAATTTAGACTTCATGCATTTGAATGTAGCTGATTACTTTGCACTCCCAGAGGGAGAAACTAGTCATGTAATCGGTGGTGAATCTGTAAAAATGTAAATATTTTAATTTTGTTATTTGTAATAGATAGTATGGTTATGTAATTGTTGTACATAAATAAAAGTTATGCTTTGATAATGATGTTTACTATAATATATTTTATTTATGTCATGTTGAAGAATATGGATAGGTATCAAATTATGTTTGGATCAACGACAAATCACGAAGATATTTGTTAATTAATAGTGGAACAACTCATGCCATATTCAAGGATCAGAAATACTTTTCTTATTTGCATAAGGAAAAAGCAAATGTTTTAACAATTTTTGGTAATATAAATTTGATTGAAGGCTCCGGAAGAGCCATTATATTTCTGTCTAAGGGAACAAAACTTATTATAGACAATGCATTGTTCTCCTCCAATTCCCGAAGAAACTTGTTGAGTTTTATAGATACCCGCCGAAATGGGTATCATGTTGAGACAATAGATGAAATGAACGTGGAATATCTTTGTATTACAAAGAATATTTATGGCCAGAAACGCATTGTAGAAAAGTTACCGACTTTATCTTCTGGCTTATACTATTCAAAAATTAGTACCGTTGAAGCACACTCTATCGTAAACCAGAAGTTTATGGATTCAAATACTTTTGTGCTTTGGCATGGCCGTTTGGGCCATCCTGGATCGATAATGATGAGACGAATTACTGAAAATTCGAGTGGGCATCCATTAAAGAACCTGAAGATTCTTACAAATGATGAATTTTCTTGTGATGCTTGTTATCAAGGCAAAATGATCAGTAGACCATCACCAATGAAGGTTGGCATTGAATCCCCTGCCTTTCTAGAGCATATACATGGGGATATATGTGGACCTATTCACCCACCAAGTGGGTTGTTTAGATATTTTATGGTCCTAATAGATGCATCTTCAAGATGCTCTCATGTGTGCCTACTATCATCTCGCAACCTGGCTTTTGCAAAGCTACTAGCCCAATTAATTCGATTAAGGGCGCAATTACCAGATTATCCTATAAAGGCGATTCGCCTTGATAATGCTGGAGAATTCTCATCTCAAGCTTTTGATGATTATTGTCTATCAGTTGGAATAAAAGTTGAACATCCTGTAGCTTATGTTCATGCTCAAAATGGCCTTGCAGAGTCATTTATTAAATGCCTACAATTGATAGCAAGACCACTATTTATGAAAACGAAATTGCCCACTACTGTTTCGGGCCATGCTATCTAGCATGCAGCATCACTTATCCTTAGACTGACACATTATAATAAATATTCTTCGTCACAATTAGTTTTTGGATATGAACCAAATATTGCCCATCTACGAATTTTTGGATGTGCTGTATATGTGTCAGTAGCACCACCACATCGCAGTAAGATGGGACCACAGAGAAGGATAGGAATATATGTTGGGGTTTGAATCACCTTCTATTATTCGCTATCTTGAACTATTGACAAGAGATTTATTTACTGCTCGATTTGCAGATTGTCGGTTTGATGAAACAATTTTCCCACAATTAAGGGGAGAGAAAAAGGAAATCAAAAGAGAAATGTGTGGAAAGTTTCATCATTATCTCACTTTGATCCACGTACCCCTATATGTAATCAGGAGGTCCAAAAGATCAGCCATTTACAGAATAAGCAAATCAAATGCTAGACGCATTTACTGATTTGAAAAGCATAACTAAGTCACATATCCCCGCAGAGAATGTGCCTATCCGAATTGATGTCCCAGTAGGACCATCTACTAGCATGAGAGCTAGTGAACCTAAAGCACGCTTGAAGCGTGGTAGGCCTTTGGGCGCATGTGATATAATCGCCTTAGTGAATATTTTCTGAAAGAAAGTTACATAAATAATATTATTTGTCCATGTATTTTTATAAAGAAATTGTCAACAGAATTGGTTACACTTGTTGTTTATGTTGATGACATAAATCTTGTTAGAACTCCAAAAGAGCTCCAAAAGGCAATTGAATATCTTAAGAAAGACTTTGAGATGAAAGATCTTGGAAAAATAAAAATTTGTCTTGGTCTGCAAATTGAATATTTAGCAGACGAGATCTTTATCCATCAATTTGCCTATACAGAAAGGGTCTTTAAACGCTTTTACATGGACAAAGTGCACCCATTAAGTACACCAATGGGTGTTCGATCACTTGAAGTGAATAAAGATCTGTTCCGACCACCAGAAGAGGATGAGGAACTCATTGGTCCTGAAATACTCTATCTCAGTGCAATTGCTATGCACTTATGTATCTTGCTAGTGCTAACAAAGGTGGTGCAGATCATATTGGTTATGCAGATACAAGATTGGAATGCGGAGACTTAAATATTTGAAACAAGGTTTTCATCAGGGGGAGTAAAATACGCGATGCACTATTTTTTCCTTACTAAGGTTTTTTCCTATAGGGTTTTCCCTATAAGATTTTTAATGAGGCACCTAGCAATGCGTATTACTAAATATGTGTACTCTTTTTCCTTCACTAGAAATTTTACCCACGAGGTTTTTCCTAGTAAGGTTTTAATGAGGCACATTATCTTTTAATGAACATCCAAGGGGGAGTGTTATAAATATATTATATTATTGATGCTCATTTACTACTCTGTTGTAAATAAGCTTCCTGAAGAAGCTTATCCATATGAGACTCCGCCGTAAATATGTTTATCTATTTAGTACTCTATTGGAAATAAGCCTCCTGAAGAAGCTTATCACTTTAATACTCGGTTATGGATAAATATTACCCACGGTAGAAGATTATCCCTACCGGGTAAATAAGCTTATCCGTTCGATACTCCGCTATGGATAAACATTATCCCCGGTAGAAGATTATCCATACCGGGTACAATAAGCTTATCCTTTTGATACTCTGTTATGGATAAACATTACCCCTGGTAGAAGATTATCCATACCGGGTACAATAAGTTTATCCTTTCGATACTCCGTTATGGATAAACATTACCCCCAGTTGAAGATTATCTATATTTTGTACAGTAGTAGCTTACACAGCAACTTGCAGTAGCAGCTTACACAGCAGCTTCTATAAATAGAAGAGATTTCAATTTATTATGGACATAAGTTTGAAGTTGAATAATATATCAGTTTCTCTCTATACTTGTCTTTACTTTATAGTCTTTATTTCATAACAGCTTTAAGATAATAAAAGATGCTACTACAACCGAAAAAATTAGTGTAAATTTAATAAATTAATAATTAAAAGTTCTTCCACTCAAAGACTAAACAAATAAAACAACTGTCTTTTTTTTATCTTATTATTTAAGTGTTAATTGTGTGTGCGTGTGGGGGTGG